AAATGAGATAAAATTAAAAAAAAACCACCATATGCACATATTTCCTATCCAACTAAGTGAACAATTTAAACTGAACAATTTGCCAAATTCTACAGAAAAATTATCAAATTTGTCCACAATGAGATTATATAGCTATATACATGAATACTACCTACACATTTACACATCCTTATTCACTTATGAAGCGATAAAAAACATGTATTATACATATATATGTATATATATGTATGTATTTATATATATATACATTTCAAGAAATAGAAACATGTAATATATAAATATATATATATATATATATATATATATATATATATATATATATGTTGGTAATAGACCATAATTTTTACAATATTCTATAAATTCTACCGAATGTTTGGCGTTAATATGTTTGTAGTTCGTTTTTTACAACAAGGAGCACTGACGATGATTCATTCGGAATCGAAATATGGCCTTATTTGCAGCATGAATTCGAAAAATAAGTTTATTTTGAATTTTAATAAACTAAACGTTCACCAAAAAACTTTAGTGAGAAAAATCGAAAAAACGAACTACAAACATATTAACGCCAAACATTCGGTAGAATTTATAGAATATATATATATATATATATATATATATATATACATATATATATATATACAATACATACAATACAATACAAAAAATATATATTTATATATATATATAGCACATGAGTTTTAATCTACGCTCATTATTTGAATGTTAAGTTAAACAATGTTATTGTTATTAGTTATAAATTTAACAATCACTTTTTTTATAAAAATTTCAAAAAAACTAGCAGTATGTACAAATAAATTATAAAGTTGATTGTTTCTCACATTTAGTTATATACCAAAAAATTCAAGTATTATTGTTTCTCACATTTAGTTATATACCTACCATGAAAATTAAAGCCACGTAGAGATAATAAAAGAATTATTATTATTAATCAATTGATAATTTCAAAGAAACAGCCGCACATTTCACAAGTTATATACAAAAGTTAAACATAATAAATGGCAAGCCAATTACAGTCGGACACAAACATTTTAACTACATGTTATCTTTAAAAAACCCCAATCAACATAAACAAACGAAATAACGACTTAGCAATTTAACTCATTTCATTCACGTTATAAGTGTTGTTCAATGAAAACCAACCACATATCTTCAGATGCAGTGATAAATAATCAGTCAAAAGAAGCTAAATGCATTTTAAACGGCAGAAGCTTTAATTGTTTAAACAACAAAGGAAGAGAGGAAGAACTTAGGCAAGAAAAAGGGAACGGTAGACTATTCTACACCACTTTTTCAGCCAAAAAAAGAATTTTTACCTATAACTAAGCAAGTTGTACTGGTTATAGATATTACTCATTTTATCATTTTCAGTTGTAAAAATGAACAATGAATGTTAATAACAAATTTGTTAGCTGATGTGAAGAATGTTACCGGTATATCTGATCTATATATATATATATATATATATATATATATATATATATATATATATATATATATATATATATATATATATCGGAACGAAGCTTTCTTTAATGCATGTTTCATTGAACTTATACGCCCAATCTGCTTTTAATAGCTTTTTATTAAGATTCTCAACACTTTGTAGTAATTTTTACTCGTGTTTATTTAAAGTTTCCATAAGTTTATCAGCTGTCAGCGCTGTTTCACTTTCCGAATGAATAATCATGTCTGAAAATATTTTTATGTGTGCATGTCCATCTGTCTGATTACTGGCCACAAAAGTCTTTTTTCATCTTTATCAGTTTTCTGACGGTTTTTTGTTGTTATTATAATTACGAAAACCTTTCAAATACATTGTTGATAAACGAAATTTTTAATCTGTCTCATGTCCGTAACACAATTAATTTCTGTTTCTCATCATTTACAAAACATTCAAGTAACAATTAACTAAATCTTTTGAAAGAAAAATAAACTAAAAACAGTTTTTTTATCATTGGAGGCCCTATTATTGCTAGAGATACAAGAGTACATGTTATGTGCTGTGATAAGTGCCACAAATGTCGGGAGGGTTCATGGCTTACAATGATGATGTTTTTCTTGCGTATTCATGATAGGTGAAAGTTTTAGACCGTATACGAATATTTGTCAAATTTTGAATTATCTATGTTTTTATTGATACTACAGGAACTAAACAACTGTTGGTTGATACTGCTGACAATAAATGGCTTCTTTTAAACTTTTTTTTCTACTAAGGTTTTCCACGGTCATGTTTTCATGGATCAAATAAAAAGTTATGTCAAAATTTCAATTCCACTTCAAACGAACAAAAAATCAACAAAGTAGAGACACAGTATATATATATATATATATATATATATATATATATATATTTATGTATGTATGTTGGTAATAGACCATAATTTTTACAATAATCTATATATTCTACCAAATGTTTGGCGTTAATATGTTTGTAGTTCGTTTTTTCGAATTTTCTCACTAAAGTTTTTTAGTTTATTAAAATTCAAAATAAACTTATTTTCCGAATTCATGCTGCAAATAAGGCCATATTTGGATTCCGAATGAATCATCATCAGTGCGGTCGGAAGTTTATATAGGGAAAATGAACTTTGTCAAAATGAACTTAGATGGAAACTGACTTTGTCAAAGTGAACTCAGATGGAAATTATGTGTCAGGTTTCTTTATTGGCTGGTCAATCTTTGTTGGAAAAGGAAGAAAAGGAAACCAACAAATATATTATATATTATAGAATATTGTATATATATATATATATATATATATATATATATATAATTTTCGTTTGCTTTTGAGTAAAATACTTTTAATCGCATGCTAAAATATGTATGAAGAACAGAAATGGACGCATATACAATGGGTGAAAATAATGAGCTAACAAGATTTATCAATTTTATCAATAGAAAATTGATTTTTTTTTTTTTAGAAAAAAATGACTAAAAAAATTTGCGAAATTGTCATTTTAAATATAGAGAAGATACTTCTATATTTTTTTATTATTCTTTAAAAATCAGGATCTGAGAGACGCAGAAATTGTTACAACATGCAAGGTGGTGGTATAAAATTAAACGATTAAGTAAATAAATGAATAAAATATGAAGAAAGAAAAATGTTTAAACATGAAAAGTAAAATAAAATAGAACAAAACAAATAATAAATAATAATAAAACAAATAAATTAAATTAAATTAAATTGAAAATTAAATGAAGTAATGGCATAAAAAGGCAAATTTATAGACTAAATGATGACTTTGTGAGTTAGTGAGGTGATCGATAAATAAAAACTAGTTGTGTGAATGATAAAGTTTTATTGAGTGTTAATACATTTGAGGTGTCTTGTGATGAAGGTCTTTTCCTGATATGTAGATTGGGCGGCGACTTGATAGTTATGTTTGCGCTGACGAAGGTTGTGTGTTGTAGTTTTAATAGGTGATAGTAGAGGATGGATGACGTGGTTGTTGTTATTTTCTACTTTCTTGAATCGAGTGTGTTGAATATCTGAGTGACGGTAGGATATGATGCAGGTAGATAGTTGAAGAGGATTAGTTTTTTGATGAGAGATTGTAGTTGCTGAAGTTGTTGTTGTGTAGCAAAACCAGACCAGGAGAGAGCTACATATTTGATGCGCCAGATTATGAGTGATTCAGTGATGTCGAATAATTTGACCCCATTTGAAATTATATTTTCATATTTTTATTAAGTTAATTGAGTCAGAGAAGATTCCTCATTTTTAAATCGAATTAGAATAGAAAATTCCAAAAAGGTAAAAATGCAATATTTTTTAAATTCTATTTCAGCATTGAAGTAATGATAATTTGTTTAAAAAAAACTTAAAAATTATTTTTTATAGGATAAGAAAAATAACTTAATACAAGTTTTGGGATTCAATTAACTTTTCTTTGAAAAAATTTCAAATTTCTCGCTATCAACTTGCCTTTAATGACAAATATATCAAAGTCCTTTCTTGTTTTTGTTCTTCAAGGGTTGTTAAACCACATTTGTCAAGTCTATCTTTGTGTTGCAAATTTCGAAGGCTTGTAATCAACTTTGTAACCCTTCTTCGAACGTTCTCGAAATTTTTTCATTTTTTTTCAAGATAAGGAGAGCAAACCTGTGCGCATTAATCTAAATGCGGTCTTACTAAGGATTTGTATATCTTTGCTGTTATAGTTTGTTTCCTGTTCGAAATTTTTTTTTATGGTCACAAGCGTTTGACTGGTCGTTTAAGCAACTTCTTGACACTGTTTTTTTGTTTTAATAACTTGAAGGTAACACAAATACCACAACATTACTTAATAACATGCAAGACAAAAGATAAACTACTACTAAAAATAATAAGCCACACACGCTTTGCTCCAATATTAGGAAATAACATAACATAACATAAACAGAAAATAGAGAGGCGTGAACTGACGTTCCTATGCCTCCAGCAAATGAAAAGCTTCCATTGTATTTTAAAAATAATAAAATAAATAAATGAAGTAAAATAAAATACAGTTGGATGAAAATATAGATTGTTAGTGATAAATGTCTATGTATACATATATATATATATATATATATATATATATATATATGTACATACATACACATATATACACACACTCACACACGCTTCTGCCCACACACACACACACACACATTATCCATAAAGATGTCAAAGATAATATCAATATATAAACTATGACATTGTGCCAAGCGAGGATCTACAGTTGAGCATCATGTCCGTAGAATTCATATGTCGATCCAACTTCATTTTAAATGTTTCAACATCTTTAGCCATCACAATGTCCGCATCCAAGCCGTTCCATAACTCAACCACCCTTTTGGAAAAACAAAATTTTCCATGATTCGTGTTAAAACTATGAGTAGACAACTTGAATGGATGACCCCTGGTACGATCATCGTTAGGTTTTTTTTAACACAGGATAACACGATGATAATACGCTGTTCCTAGTTATGTTGAAAACTGTGATAAGATCACCTCTGATTCGTCTATACCTCAGTGTGGGAAGATCGAGGAGTCTTAATCTCTGCTCATAATTGAATCCAATACAATTTTTCACTATTCTTGTGGCCCGTTCAATATCTTCTATAACTTTCAAAGACCAGGGAGACCACACCGAAGCAGCATACTCTATCTTTGACCTGACAAGGGATTTATATAAGATTAAAAAATTGGGTTTAGGTAATTTCATAAAATGTCTATTTATCAATCCTAGAGTTATATTACACTTATTAATTGTATTATAAATGTGTTTATGAAATTTCATGTCTGGTTCAAATATTACCCCCAAATCTTCAACAAATTCCCCATTTTCAAGAAGTAAACCATTCATAGTATAAGATCTCTTACCACATGCTCTACGTTCATAATTCATAACGACACATTTATCCACATTCACCCCAAGCTCCCATTTCACACACCACTCATAAAAAAACACCCAGACATGCCTGAAGAGCCTGCATATCATCATTAGAAGAGATACACTTGAACAATTTAGCGTCATCAGTATATAGATACATCCCAACATTAGAATCATTCTTACATAAATAAAAAATATCATTCACATAAATAACAAACAAAATTGGTCCCAACACACTGCCCTGTGGAACCCCACTAATGACTTTAAAATTATCAGACAGAATTCCATTCACACACACTGCAAATGTTCTACCACTAAGATAATCAGAAATCCAATCAACCACAATACCATTCACACCATAATCGCATAATTTTTTAATTAATTTGTGATGAGGAACAATATCGAATGCTTTCTCAAAGTCTGTATAAATCACATTAATTTTCTTGCCTTCATCAATCGCAACACTCCAGTCATCCACCATTTTTAACAACTGCATCGCAGCTGATTTATGTGGCATAAACCCAAACTGTCTAAAACCAAATAAATTATTACTAATAAAATGAGACATAAGATTATGTCCAATGTTTCCATCACTTTACAACAAACACAACAAAGAGATATTGGTCTATAATTTGTTACTTTGCAGACATCTCCTTTTTTATAAACTGGCACTATTATACGGTGTCTTTATTCATCAGGTATCATACAAAGCTTTAATGACATATTAAATAAGCTACTTAAAAAATGTGCAATCTCTTCACTACATTCATATAATACTCTGTTGAATAATTTGTCTGGCCCAGCTGATTTATACTTATTAATTTTTTTAAGTGGAAAGCTCATATGGAAAGGTTGATGAATGAAGAGAATGAGTGGGATGGAGATGTGGAATTTGCGGTCACACACGGACCTATAGAGAAGGTGACGATGGAGGAAGTAGAGAAAGCAGTTAGAGAAATGAAACTAGGTAAGGCGACAGGGGTTTCGGAAGTGGCGGCAGAACATATAAAAGCGAGTGGGTTGATAGGAATTGAAGTTATGATGAGAATTGCTAAAAGTATGTTTGATGATGAAGGTATACCTGAGGATTGGCGACACAGCGTGTTGGTGCCGTTGTATAAGGGCAAAGGAGATGTGAGAGATTGTGGGTCATATAGGGGTGTGAAATTGCTAGAGCACGGAATGAAGGTAGTGGAGAGGGTGCTTGAGAGGAGGTTGAGAAATATGGTGACAGTTAATGAAATGCAGTGTGGGTTTATGCCTGGTAGGGGAACGGTGGATGCGTAGTTCATGGTGAGAATGTTGCAGGAGAATTATAGAAAGAAGAAACGAAGATTGTACTTGTGTTTTGTGGATCTAGAAAAGGCTTTTGATCGAGTACCGAGGAAGGTCATTGAATGGGCGTTGAGGAAGAAAGGAGTGAATGAGAGACTTGTTGAAGCTGTGATGCAGCTGTATGAATGGGCAAAGACAAAGGTGAGGGTTGGAAGGGGGATGTCGGACGCTTTTAGTGTTAAGGTAGGAGTGCTTCAAGGATCAGTGTTATCACCGTTTCTGTTTGCAATTGTGATGGATGTTGTGGGTGGAAACATAATGGAGGGGTTGTTATTTGAGATTTTGTATGCAGACGATTTAGTCTTGATGGCTGATAGCATGGAAAAATTGCAGTTAAAATTTGACAGATGGAAAAGTGTTATTGAAAAGAAAGGGTTAAAAGTTAATATTGGTAAGACGAAGGTAATGGTGAGTGGAGAAGGTAGGGAGCGAGTGATAAGTAAAATAGACCCCTGTGGGGTATGTGACAGGAGAGTGAAGGTTAACTAGGTATTGTGTATAGGATGTCAGAAATGGGTGCATAAGAGATGTAGTGGTGTGAGGGGGGCACTGAAAAAGGTGGAAGGCACGTTCAAATGTAAGAAATGTGTTCATGGTGTGATTAATAGGACGGACGCAAGGACGGGGTTGAGTGGTGGTATTGAAAGAGTGGAAAGCTTTGTTTACTTAGGGGATATGCTGAACGCAGATGGAGGATGTTTGAGCGCAGTTACGGCTAGAGTTCGTGTGGGATGGATAAAATTTAGGGAACTGGGTGGGGTATTGTGTGAAATGGTCAGTGAAGATGAAAGGGAGGGTATATAAAGCATGTGTGAGAGCAGCGATGGTATATGGTGGTGAAACTTGGGTGTTGAGGAGAGAGAAGGAAAGTGTACTGCAGAGGGCTGAAAGAGCTATGGTGAGGATGATGTGTGGGGTTAAAGTGAAGGATAGGAAGAGTAGTACAGAGCTGATGTCAATGATGGGACTGAATGAGGACATTGTGACATTGATAAGGAGATCGAGATTGCGGTGGTATGGACATGTGTTGAGAAGGGATGAAAGGGTCGGGATTAGGCGAGCGTTGGAGTTCGAGGTTGAAGGAGTGGTAGAAAGGGGTCGTCCGCGATTGGGATGGAGAGAGCAGGTGGAGAAGGACAGGGTGAAAGCGGGATTGCGTGATACTGAGGCGAGTGACGGATGTGGATGGCGTCGAGGGGTATTTCGGTTTCATCATAGGTAGCCAAACGGCAACCCCCGATCTCGGGGAAAATGTCGTCTAAACGTGTGTTGTTGTTGTTGTTGTTAGATAAAACTTCCTTAACTGTAACAGTTATATCATCCACCGATGAAGTAAAATACCTACTACCCATATTAGTATCATTAACATCATTCACAGATAAATTGAATACACTATAAAAGTTTTGCCCAAATAGATTAGCCTTTTCAGTGTCATCATAAACATTCAAAACCTTGCCCTGACCATCCAACTTATGAAGGACATCAATATCCCCTTTATTTTTTCTGGCTTTATTAATGTGCTGCCAGAACACCTTTGGATTGTCTTTTATTTTTCTTGAAAAATTAATCATAAAATTAGTATTAAATTTAAAAATATTTTTTTTAATATTATTTTTTATTTTTTTATATTCATTAAAGACTTAACAACTTTACAACTTTTAGAAATGACATATTTTTTCCATAATCTATTTTTATATTGAATCAGATTTATAAGGTTTCTGGGAAATTTTAATGCAAATCCATTATTATGACACCCAACATCAATTAAAGAAATAAATTTATTTGTAGCATCGTTCAGTATAGTACAGAAGTACCTCCAGGCTTCATTGAGTTGCACAACATTATAAACTTGTTTAAATACACACATTTCTTTATTTAATTCAGTTCTGACATAAACTCTCATCTTATCATACTCACCTTTGCTAAAATTATATTTTTGCTTGGCACGTTTTCCAACTAAATTCCAAGTATGTCTCAATATGAAGACCAGAACAATATGATCACTATTGCCAATTGGGAAGTTATAATTATAACTTCCCAATTGGCAATAGTGATCATATCATTATAATCGATGTTGGCAACCACATCTTTGTCATAAACCAGAATCAAGTCCAATATACTTAATTTTTGTGAAGTACGAAACCTAGTAGCTTTAGAAACCAGCTGATGTAAAAACAGATCCCTCACACAATTAAAAAACCTAGATTCCAAAATAGGAAATAAAAAAAAGTCACAGAAAATTTGTAATTAAAAAAATTAATCTGCGTTGTTAAGTGTGAAAAACGGTGAGCGTTGCTGTAGATGATCGAAGGATTGATATACATCATTCGCTCTCGGCTGAACAACAGCAACAGTATGTATTATGGTTTTACCAGATAAATCTGTTGGACTGTTACCGTCTATTCTGAATCGTGAAGCAGAGGCTTACAATCTTGAGTGATAAAAACAAGTGTCATGCAAATTTTTGTTTTAATAACATGAAGGTAACACAAATACGACAACATTACCTAATAACATACAAGACACAAGATAAACTACTACTAATAATAATAAGCCATACACATCATTCGCTCTCGGATGAACCACTGCAACAGTATGTATTATGATTTTACCCGATAAATCTGTTAGACTGTTACATTCTATTCTGAATCGTGAAGCAAAAATTGCTCTTGGAGCGTATAAGCGTATAAATCTCTGATTCTTGCATGCACAGCTTCATTGGTTGACGGTCGACAAGTGAATAATATTTAATGTTTGTACGGTTTTGTTCAAGTGTATGAATAATTCGGCACCGGAGTGTTTGAAGAACAAATGCCAGTTGAAGCATCATCTTTTTTTGGCTTGCGTTTGGAAAATTTGTGCTATCTGTGGGTTCCGTTGACACAAACGAAATTTGGATCCGAAAAATGGCGTTTGGTCCTCGAGTCTGGAACAGTCTTCCCAAAGACCTGCTCGAAGTGTTGACAGGTTCAAGAGGATGTTGAAAACATTTATTTACGCTGAATACCAATCAATAATGTCTATTTCTTATTGATCTGATGTTTGATTTATTTATTCGTTAGTTGATTTTAACAATTTTTCATTTGTAAGCGCTTTTGAAAAAATTTTAATTGTGATGATGATGATTACGATGATGAGGAGGATAATGATGATGATAATACTCATTTATTAAAAATTTTTAATGTCAGCAATTTAATGTAGACTGGCTAAAATCTTGTGTCCAACAAATACCCGTTCAATCTTATGTCAAGTTGCATCTGAACTGTGCAGGGGCGGATCCAGGTCATCTAGTAAGGGGGGGCGATTTTTATCCATCATGGCAACCCACAACTGCCTGCAAGGCGGGCAAGCCCACAAATAAAAAAACGTTTAAATTATTTTTCAATTTGCCCTTTAAATAACAATCTATGTGACTAAGACGTTAAGGCATATACGTCGCGATCGTATCAGCATCGGCAAAGACGGTGCAAGTGTGCAGGCACGCGGTAGCACGCACCCCCGTATCATGTCAGTAAACTTAAATCTACTCTGTTCTA